CGTGCCCGCCCCCGACCACCCGGGGAGCCGGCCGGCGGACAGCTGTGGGCGCAGCCTGACGCCACAGGCCGCTGAGTCACCCCTGCAGAGGGCGGGACGCCCCCCACGCCCGACTCACGGCTCCTCCGGCTCCCGGTCAGCTGAGGCGGTGAGGCGGAGCCGCCCAGCTGCCTGACGGGGCGCTGCCTAACCCTCGCTCCCGCTCCCCGAGGGCCTGGGCTCCGAGCCTCCCGGCTCCCCGGCTCTCAGCCCTGAGGGCGGGAAGACTGAGCTCTCAGCCCCCGAACGGAGCCTCCGCCTGCCCGAGTCCCTCTGGGCCGCTCCCCGGGGCCGGCCCTCTGCTCCGGGACTCGGCCCGGGCACACTTCCATGCTCACGTGGTTTCTGTTTTTGTTTTTAAATATATTTTATTGATTTCAGAGAGGAAGGGAGAGGGAAACATCCGTGATGAGAAAGACTCACGGACCGGCTGCCTCCTGCACGCCCCCTGCTGGGGATGGAGCCCACGACCTGGGCCTGGGCCTTGACGGGGAATCGAACCCTGACCTCCTGGCTCAGCCCGAACCACGCCGGTGGGTCAAGGTCAGGCTTTGCTTCCGGCTCCCGGGCCGGCGTCCGGAGCTCCTGCAGCCGCAGGGAGCCGGGGGAGCCGGGACCTGCCCGTGGAGGCCCCTCAGGGCACTTTGGGGGCGCCCTGCTCTGCACCCCGGCTGACGGTCTGCTTTCTCGTCCAGAGCCCGGATGGCTAGAACTGGTGTGCCCCTGCCAGCCAGCCCTGGGCCGTTTGGGGCCGTGTCCCGGCTCCTAAGCGTCTGCTCTCAAAGCGGCACCGGCTGGTCCGGCCGGTGGCTCGGCCGCGGGCCCGGCCTGTGCCCTGAGCAGCCGCAGGTTCGGGCCCGGGCCCAGGGCACACACCTGGCACCTGCAGGAGGCAACCAGCGGCTCCCTCTCTCACATCGATGTTTCTCCCCCTCCTCCCACTGTCTGAAAAGCAACGGGGAAATATCCTCCAGTGAGGATTAACCAAAAAAAAAAAAAAAAGGAAGGAGCCCTGGCTTCCTGACAGCTCCAAGTGAGAGCCGGGCGGCCCCCACCGCATCCCCGCACGCCGAGCCCGAACCCGCGCCGAGCAGGCCCCGAGCCTCCGCTGATCCTGACAGCTCCGAGCGAGAGCCGGGCGGCCCCCACCGCATCCCCACACGCCGAGCTCGAACCCGCGCCGAGCAGGCCCCGAGCCTCCGCTGACTGGCGGCCGGCATCAGCCAACGGCTCTGCAGCTGGAAAGCCCGATGGAGCAGCCGTCCGCACGGGGACCCTGTGGGCTGGCGGCCAGGGCCGGGGTTCAGAACAGCGAGCCGGGGGACGTGGGGACCCCACAAAGACCGGCCACTGTGTGGACGATGCGGCTCAGGAGGAGCCGGCCCGACAATCCCCGCCCGGCCCCCCGCCCTCCGGCGGGAGGGGGGAAGAAGGGACGCACACGGAGGCAGAGCAGGAAGAGGAGCTTTAATAGCTGCGTCGGCCACGCCGGTCCCGTTCCTGGGCGCTGCTCCCAGAGCCACGGCCACGGCCACCCGCCCGCGGTCCCGGCCGCTCCTCCGGGGCCGGCGTGGAGCACGGGGACAGCACACACGCCAGGTGCCACACGGCTTCCGGCCAACCTCCTGTCCACGCCGCCATGACAGTCTTCCAGGCACCAGGACGCTGAGCGTGCAAAGAGGCAACGCCTGGGACCTCAAGGCGGGAGCGGTCCAAGGGCAGAGCGAGGGCGCGGCGGGAGGCGGGCCCTCGCGGGCGGTGCGGCCTGCAGACACCCAGGAGGCGCGGCCGCCGTGTCCCGGCCCGGCCAGCAGCGGGGCGGCCCGGCCCGGCCTCAGGGGGAGGGTCTGTGGGGAGCGGCCCCGCCCCGGCTAGGGGTCCAGCTCCTCAGGCACCACGGTGAGCATGACGTCCTCGTTGCCGCGGCGAACCACCATGTGCAGGGTGCCCTCCTTCCGGATCAGGTCGCTCACGTCTCCGGCCGAGGCCACGGGCTGCCCGTTGATGCTGATGATGACATCCTGCTCCTTGAGGCCACCGCTGCAACGGGGCACGGGGACCGGCTGAGCTTCTCCTCGGCGGACCCTGCCCGGGGCCTCGGACCCGCCCACCGGGGCTCCTGGGGGCTGGGCACCCTCTCCATCCCACCCCCCTTCACCTCCTCACCCCCGTGAGGCGGAGCCAGGGCTCCTGACGGCAGGACGCCTCCCCGGCGGGGTCTGAACTGCTCCCGGCCGCACGCCCGGCCGGCAGGACAGACCATGGACGGCCCGCCCTCCCCTCCCGCCCGGGACCCTCGCCGTGGCCGAGCGGATGGCCCGGAGCCGGGAGCCGGGGAAGAGAACTCACGCTTCGGCGGGCGTGTCGGGGAGGACCTCGATGATGTAGGCCCCCGAGAGCGCGTCCGGGAAGTCTCGGTGGTGGTCCCGCAGCTCCTTGGCCTTGCTGCTGGCGGGGGGAGCGGGGGGCTCCTCGTGAGCTCCGAGAGACACCCCCTGCTCCCCGTAGCCCCCACAACCCCTCCCCGGCTTCTCCTCCGTCCCTGGTTCCAACGTAAAACCCCGGGGCTCTGGCCCCGCTTCAGGCCGCCGTCTACCAGACGCACAGGTTTGCTGGGCCTCAGCGAGAGGGCTCATCAGTCCATGACTGTATTTACTGTATTCGTTTTGTTTTCTCGTTATGGATGCCAGAGGGGAAGGGAGGAGAGGGAGGGAAACATCACTGATAAGAGAGAACCATTGAGGGCTGCCTCCTGCACACCCCCCACTGGGGATGGAGCCCGCAACCCGGGCCTGTGCCCTGACCGGGAACCGAACCCTGACCTCCTGGCTCCTAGGTCAACCCTCAGGCATGGAGCCCCGCCGGCCAGGCCCACTGATTCCAGTGGAAGCCGCAGTAGCTCCGAGGGAGGAGTCAGTGCAGGGAGCGGCCGGCTGGCCGGGCCTCGCCTGCCGCTTGCTCGCTGTGTGATCTGGGCAGGTGCTAACCCTCTCTGGGCCTTCCTTCGCTCAAATGCAAACCACGGCTCTGGAGCCACCTGTGGCTCTTTGGCCCCTGGAGTGTGGCTCTTCCACAGAACACCTGGGCCTGGGCAAGTCTATGCTGAAGAAGTGGCATTAGAAGGAGTTTACGTTTAAAAATGTGGCTCTCAGAAGAAATGCCAGTCCTTATGCTGTTGACGTCTGGCTCTGTGGACGGATGAGTTTGCCGACCGCGGGCCCAGGACACGCTGGTCAGGAGGGAGACGGGTCCTCTGGCGGTGGCAGGAGGCGGGCCTGGCAGTGGGGCCGGTGCCCACAGCGGCCGGCGTCACCGCGGCCGGATCCGCCCGCCCCCGTCCCAGCCGGACAGGCGCTGAGTCACCGGCGCTCACCACTCGCCGCCTCACCGCACGGCAGGGAGCCGGGCTCTGGGGCCAGCTCCTCCCACAGCCACACGGCGGGGAGCGGAGGGCGAGGCCCACGGGCGCCGAGAGGGCCCGGCTCCGAACACCGACCCAGCCTACACCGCGGGCCCAGGCCCGGCGGAGCCGAGCCGGTCCTCGCGAGAACACACATGTGCTCACGTGTCAGCCGCACCCGGGCTACGGGGACTCGGGCGGCTGCGTCAGGCCCGTCACCCGGGAGGCAGGCACCCGCGTGTCCGGGGCCGCGGCCACGTGCCCCGGGCGTGGGCCTGCCCGCATTCCAGAGCCACGGCCTCAGGCAGCGGGCGGAGGGCGCCCGGGCACTCCCGGAATGTGGGTGGAGGCCCAGCCTGGGGCAGTGCCCGGCACCAGCCAACCAGCCCTCCCGGCCGGCCTGCAAAACAAGGCAGAACGTTCCGGAAGGAAGGCCCTGCTCAGACACAGAAACAAACTGAAAGGCGAGAGGAGGGGGCATCCGGCCGGTGTGGCCCAGTGGTGAGCGCCCACCGAGCAGCCAGGAGGGCACAGGCCTGGGTTGCGGGCTCCATCCCCGGGGGGCGTGCAGGAGGCAGCCGATCGGCGATTCTCTCTCATCGTGGATGCTTCTCCCTCTCCCTCTCCCTTCCTCTCTGACATCAATAAAGTCCTATTTAAAAAACCGCCGGCACCGGTTTGGCTCAGTGGATAGAGCGTCGACTGCGGACTGAAAGGTCCCGGGTGCGATTCCGGTCAAGGGCATGTGCCTCGGTTGCGGGCACATCCTCAGTAGGGGGTGTGCAAGAGGCGGCTGATCGATGACTCTCTCTCATTGATGTTTCTAATTCTCTCTCTCCCTTCCTTTCTGTACAAAATCAATAAAATATATTTTTAAAAAACAGAAATAAAGCGAGGGGCCAGGATGAGGGGCCTCCTCTCCTGAGACAAACGGCCCCCGTTAGCAGGGTCCTGGCCGCGTGAGGCCCCGGGGGGCGCCAGGGCAGGCAGGCCCCGCCCACGCAGGACGCCCGCCCGGACCCACCTGGCCGTGAGTGACAGCATCCGGATGCCGATGTACTTCTTCTTGGTGACGGCTTTGCCTGGCGGAGGGCGGCGGGCGGCGGGTCAGGGGTGCCCGTCGGGAGCCGGGCCGTGGGGCTCCATCGCCCCCTCCCCCTCCCCCGTCCGCAGGGCTCAGCTTCCGGTCATTCCGGCCTCGGGGTGCCCGCTGCCCCCCTCACCCCGGCGGTCCGCCCCCTCACCCCGGCCGTCCGCCCCCCTCACCCCGGCCGTCCGCCCCTCTCACCCCGGCCATCTGCCCCTCTCACCCCGGCCATCCGCCCCCCTCACCCCGGCCGTCCGCCCCCTTCGCCCCGGCCGTCCGCCCCCTCACCCCGGCCGTCCGCCCCCTCACCCCGGCCATCTGCCCCCCTCACCCCGGCCGTCCGCCCCCCTCACCCCGGCCGTCCGCCCCCTCACCCCGGCCGGCCGCCCCCTCACCCCGGCCGGCCGCCCCCTCACTCCAGCCGTCCGCCCCCCTCACCCCGGCCGTCCGCCCCCCTCACCCCGGCCGTCCGCCCCCCTCACCCCGGCCGTCCGCCCCCTCACCCCGGGCGTCCGCCCCCTCACCCCGGGCCTGCCCCCATCACCCCGGCCGTCTGCCCCCCTCGCCCCGGCCGGCCGCCCCTCACCCCGGGCGTTCCGCCCCCTCACCCCGGCCGTCCGGCCCCCTTACCCCGGCCGTCCGCCCCCCTCACCCCGGCCGTCCGCCCCCGTCACCCCGGCCGTCCGCCCCCCTCACCCCGGCCGTCCGCCCCCTCACCCCGGGCCGTCCGCCCCCGGTCACCCCCGGCCGTCCGCCCCCTCGCCCCGGCGTCCGACCCCTCGCCCCGGCCGTCCGCCCCCTCGCCCCGGCCGTCCGCCCCCCTCACCCCGGCCGTCCGCCCCCTCGCCCCGGCCGTCCGCCCCCTCACCCAGGCCGTCCGCCCCCTCGCCCCGGCCGGCCGCCCCCCTCACCCCGGCCGTCCGCCCCCCTCACCAGCCCGCCCGTCCGCCCCCGTCACGCCCGCCCGTCAGCCCCCCTCACCCCGGCCGTCGACCCCTCACCCCTGCCGTCCGCCCCCGTCCCCCCGGCGGCCGTCCCGCCCCTCCCCTCACCCCGGCCGTCCGCCCCCCTCACCCCGGCCGTCCGCCCCCTCACCCCGGCCGTCCGCCCCCCTCGCCCCGGCCGTCCGCCCCCCTCGCCCCGGCCGTCCGCCCCCTCACCCCGGGCCTGCCGGTCGTGCGACTCAGTGAGGAACTTCTTGATCTTATCGGACGGGATGGCAAAGGCGATGCCGGCCGTCACCTTCAGCGTGTTGATGCCGATCACCTCGCCGTCCTGGGGGCAGACAGAGCGGCTCTGGCCCACAGGCCCCCGAGGGTGCTCACAGGGGGCAGGAGGGCCGCCGGGCCCCCGAGTGAGGGGGTGACCCCGGAGTGAGGGGGGTGACCCCGGAGTGAGGGGGGTGACCCCGGAGTGAGGGGGGTGACCCCGGAGTGAGGGGGGTGACCCCGGAGTGAGGGGAGTGACCCCGGAGTGACCCCGGAGTGAGGGGGGGTGACCCCGGAGTGAGGGGGGGTGACCCCGGAGTGAGGGGGGTGACCCCGGAGTGAGGGGGGGTGACCCCGGAGTGAGGGGGGTGACCCCGGAGTGAGGGGAGTGACCGCGGAGTGAGGGGCGGGGTGACCCCGGAGTGAGGGGGGTGCCCGCGGAGTGAGGGGGGTGACCCCGGAGTGAGGGGGGTGACCCCGGAGTGAGGGGAGTGACCCCGGAGTGAGGGGGGTGACCCCAGGGTGAGGGTGGGGTGGCCCAGGGCGGGGTTGTGGGGGGAGAAGGCGGGAACCACAGCCTGGGGACTTGAGGGCCTTACCAGGTTGACCAGGGGGCCGCCCGAGTTTCCATACTGAAAGCAGACACAGGCGGTCAGGGGGCGCCCGCGAGGCCCCTCCCCCTCCCTCTCTCTCCTCTCCCCCTCTCCCTCTCCCCCTCCCTCTTCCTCTCCCCCTCCCTCTCCCCCTCCCCCTCCCTCTCTCCCTCTCCCCCTCCTTCCTCTCCCCCTCCCTCTTCCTCTCTCCCTCCCTCTCCCCCTCCCCCTCCCTCTCTCCCTCTCCCCTCTCCTCTCCCCTCCTCTCTCCCTCTCCCCTCTCCCTCTCCCTCTCCTCTCCCCCTCTCCCCCTCTCCCCCTCTCCCCCCCTCCCCTCCCTCCCCCTCCGTCCCTCCCTCTCCCCTCCCTCCCCTCCCTCCCCCCTCCTCCTCTCCTCTCCCCCCTCTCCACCCTCTCCCCCGCTCCCCTCTCCCTCTCTTCCCTTCCCTCTCCCCCCTCCCTCCCCCCCTCTCCCCCTCCCGCTCCTTCTCCTGCTCCCCTTTCCCCCTCTCCCCCCTCTCTCCTCCCCCTCTCCCCCTCCTCCCTCCCTCTCCCTCTCCCCTCTCCCCCTCTCCTCCCTCCCTCTCCCTCTCCTTCTCCCGCCTCTCCCCCTCTCCCCCTCCCCTCTCCTGCTCCCCCTCTCCCCTCCCACTCCCCTCTCCTCTCCCCCTGCTCCCGCTCTCCTTCCCTCTCCCCCTCCCCGCTCCCTCTCCCCTCCCCCCCCTCTCCCCCCTCCTCTCCCCCTCTCCCCTCTCTCCTCCACTCTCCACCCTCCCTCCCCATCTCCCCCTCCCTCTCCCTCTCCCTCTCCTCCCCCTCCCTCCCCCTCTCCCCTCTCCCCCTCCCTCTCCCTCCCTCTCCCCCCCTTTCCCCCTCCCCCTCCCTCCCGCCCCCTCTCCCCCTCCCTCGCCCCTCCCCCTCTCTCCCCCTCTCCCCCTCTCCCCGCTCTCCTCCCTCTCCCTCTCCCTCTCCCCCTCCCCCCTCTCCTTCTCCCTCCCCTCTCCCTCTCCTCCTCTCCCCTCTCCCTCCCCCACTCTCCCTCCCTCTCCCCCTCCCCCTCTCCCCTCTCCCCCTCTCCCCCTCTCCCTCTCTCCCTCCCTCTTCCCCCTCCCTCTCCCCCTCTCCCCCTCCCCTCCCCCTCTCCCCCCCCTCCCCCTCCCCCTCCTCCCTCCCTCCCCTCCCCTCTCCCCTCCCTCTCCCCCTCCCCCTGTCCCTCTCCCCCTCTCCCCCTCCCCTCCCCCCCCTCCCCCCCTCTCCCCCTCGCCCTTCCCTCCCTCGCCCGCTCCCCTCTCCCCCCTCATCGCCTCTCCCTCCCCCTCTCCCCCTCTCCCCCTCTCCTCCCTCTCCCTCCCTCTCCCTCTCCTCTCTCACCTCTCCCTCTCTCCCCTCCCCCTCCCTCTCCCTCTCCCCTCTCCCTCCCTCTCTCCCTCTCCCTCTCCCCTCCCTCTCCTCCCTCTCCTTCTCTCCTCCCTCTCCCTCCTCTCCCTCGCCCCCTCGTCCCTCTCCCCCTCCCTCTCCCTCTCCTTCTCCTCCCTCTCCCTCTCTCCCTCCCTCTCCCCCTCCCTCTCCCTCTCCTTCTCCCCCTCTCCCCCTCTCCCTCCCTCCCCTCCCTCTCCCTCTCCTCCCCTCTCCCTCCCCCTCTCCCTCCCTCTCCCCCTCCCTCTCCCTCTCCTTCTCTCCCTCTCCCCCTCTCCCCTCCCTCTCCCCCCTCTCCCTCTCCCCCTCCCTCTCCCCCTCCCTCTCCCTCTCCCTCCCTCTCCCCCTCCCTCCCCCTCTCCCCCTCTCCCCTCTCCCTCTCCCCCTCCCTCTCCCCCTCCCTCTCCCTGTCCCTCCCCCTCTCCCCGCCGATCCCACAGGCCCCGGCCCCCGGCCCGGGCTCACGTTGATGATGGCGTCTGTCTGGATGTAGTCCATGTCGGAGTTGCGCAGCCCCAGCTCCTTGCCGCCGCGCTGTGTGGTGCTGACGATGCCGGTGGTGACCGTGTTCTGCAGCGAGAAGGGGCTGCCGATGGCCACCACAAACTCGCCGGGCCGCAGCTCCCCGGACCGGCCCAGCAGCAGCACCGGCAGCTTCCCCTGCAACGCACAGGCCGGCCTCGTGTCTCCCTCGGCGGGCACCGGCCGGCAGTCCGCCCGCCCCCGCCCGGACCTCCGTCCCCGCCCGGACCTCCGTCCCCGCCCGGACCTCCGTCCCCGCCCGGACCTCTGTCCCCGCCCGGCCCCCGCCCCCGCCCGGCCCCCCGGCCCCGCCCGGCCCTCCGTCCCCGCCCGGCCCTCCGTCCCCGCCCGGACCTCCGTCCCCGCCCGGACCCCGTCCCCGCCCGGACCTCCGTCCCCGCCCGGACCTCCGTCCCCGCCCGGACCTCCGTCCCCGCCCGGACCCCGTCCCCGCCCGGACCTCCGTCCCCGCCCGGACCTCCGTCCCCGCCCGGCGCTCCCCGCTGCAGTGGGCGCCACGGCCGCAGCTCCCGGACCGGCCGGCAGCACCGCAGCTCCCCCTGCCACGCTCGGCCGTGTCTGCCCTCCGCTCGGGTCTCCCCTCCGCGCACCCCGGCCGGCCCGGCCCTCCTCCCTGCCCCGTCCTCCCTGCGCCACGGTGACCGGAGAACCTGGGTCTCCACCCCGGAGCCCTAGGCGGACCTCCCTGAACCCTGCGACCAGGAGGGAGGGAGGGACACAGGCTCCAGACGTGGGTCACGCTGCTCAGGGCTCCGGAGCCACACACCCGGGGGAGGGCCGGGCTGGACCGCCTACAGCCACCCTCGGCCCAGAGTCCTGCACCGGCCGGTCTGGCGCATCTGGGCGAAGAGCATGCCGCCTGGTGAGCGCGGGCGGGGGGCGGGCGGCCAGGACCCCCAGACCCCTCTGCTCCCGCTGGGCGGGCTGAGCCAGGCGACCGGGTGCCAGTGCAGGCGCAGAGCCGAGCCCACCAGCTCCGCTCAGAGAGTGAAGGCAGCTCGGGGCACAGCCGGGAGCCTGCTCCCGGGAGGGCCTGGGCCCCCACCCGCCCTCCCCGGGGCCTCAGAGCCCCTTTGGGCGCTGTCCTCCGAGAGCCAACAATCAGGCCCCAAACCGCGGGCCAGGCCCAGAGGCACGTCCAGCCGGCCGCGTGCGAATCACATTCGGTCCTCGCGGCTGTCCACCCCGGAGAGAGAGAAGCGAGGGGGTCGGAGGGCGGCCGGGGGCCCAGCCGTGGTTCACCGTGTCCTCTGCCGGGCACGGAGCAGACACCGGCGGATGGGCCCATTGAACAGGCGGAGAAACTGAGGCTCTGGGCAACTGGATCACGTGAGACAGGAGGACGGGACCCTGGGCTGTGGCTGGCCCAGACCCTCACGCTCCACACACAGCACCTGGCCACCACGACCTGCCACCCGGCAAGGAAGGCCAGCGGGTCAGGGGGGAGGAGAGGAAGGTGGGGGGGACCTAACACTGAGCCCTGGCCAGTGTGGCTCATGGACAGAGCGTCCACCTGGGGACTGAAGGGCCCGGTTTCGGTTCCGGTCAAGGGCATGCACCTCGATTGCAGCTCGGTGCCCGGCCCTGTGAGATCCTAGCCTGAGCTCACAACCACTGCGGCCTCAGTCTTCTCATCTGGCAAATGGGACCGTGCCGTTGCCCACCTCCCCGGTCCCTCTGAGGATCCAGGGCCTCAGCTGAGCAGCTCTTTGGAGACGGCCCGGCCCGTTTCAGGCCTCGCTCCGGCCAGGGAAGCCTCACGAGGCTGTGGGGCCTCGCTGTCCGTCGGGGCCTGTGCAGACCCCACGGGGGACCTCGCCAGCTGAACGCCCCGGCCAGCCGCACCCCCCCCCCCACCGCGTGGGGTCGCCTGAGGCCGGAGCGCAGGGGCTGCGGGAGGGGCCGGCTCCTCCGCCAGGCACAGCCGCCAGCTCCAGGCCTGTTTGCCCTGGGCCCCGGCCAGCCGCCCCTGCCAACAGTGACCTCATCCCCGTCGCAGTGCGGCTGGCGGAGTCGGCTCGGTGCTGGGAGGCCCACAGGGACACTCCTGCCCCTCCAGGGCCCGGGACAGCCTCGGGGCGGGCGTGAGGGGGAGTATGGGGTGTGGGCGGTAAGGGGGGAGGCTGGGTCTGCCCGGCCGCCCACGGTAACAGCTGCTTCTCGCAGCTCAGTGCACACGCTCAGTGCACGCCGTCCAGCTTCGCAGAGAGGAGGCTGGGCCACAGCCGCTCGGCCACAGGCCCGGGGATCCCATCGGAGAGTGACAGCCCCCCCTCCCGACCCCCTCCCAACCCCCCCGGGCTCCGGGTCTCGGGGTGCAGGCGGCAGGGGGGCCTGAACACACGCTCGGTCAGTCCGAGCTCCGGCCCAGACGGGGAGGAGGCAGACCCTGGGGGAGGGCTCAGCGGGGGGCCCAGGGCCTGCGCGCTGCTCAGGGGCCTCCCCGGTCCCCGAGGGCAGCGTGGCCCCGCTGCAGTGAGGCCATCCACACGCGGCGACCACACGGCGTGGACGAGGGGGCATCAGCCACGCAGCCCACGGACTCCCAAGGCCCGCCCCCTGAGCAGAGGGGGAAACACGGGGCACGCAGGCACAGCCAGCCTGTGGGCAGTGCTGAGGGGTCGGGCACAGCCGGGCCCGTGGGCAGCGCTGAGGGCACGCAGGCACAGCCGTGGTTCCCACCAGAGCGAGCTTTGCTCACACACACACTGCACAGACGGTGAGGGACCCACGTTAGGAAAAGCAGACACACACACAACGGGGGGCAGGTCTGACGTGACGCCTGAGTTCAGGTGACAAAGCGCTCCCATGACCCCCTGGGGCGGGAGGGCCTGTCCCCCCATTGCACAGACGTGGAAACTGAGGCAGCTCGGTGAGTGAGAAGCAGCTGCCCCGCTGAGCCGGCTCCCCTGCTCTGACCGCGGGCGGACGCTCTGCACGGGTGCCGGGCCGAGAGGGGCGGGGCCCGGGGCCAGTCCGGGGGCCGCTGGCCCCACAGCACAGCTCTGTCTGTGCCAGACCCGGTGCCGCCGTGCTGCCCCTCCGCCCCCGCCCGTCTGCAGCGCGGCCACACGATGCTGGCCAGACGCCCGCACAGGGAGCGTGTGGTCCCACAGCCTCCAGACAGACCTCCGGGGCCTGGGGAGATCAGCCGCCTCGGCCTGCAAACGGGAAACCCCGCTCGCACCCACCCCTCCCCCTGCGCTGTCCCCGGGTTCCCGCGCCCCCACACCAAAGTGCCCCCCATCCCGCTGCAGACACGATCTGATCTCCTCTGAGACGGCAGCCACAGGCCAGCCCTTCCCTAGCAGCCATCCTGCAGCTCCCATCTCCCATCTCCCGTCTCCCGTCTCCGTCTCCCCGCCTCCCCGCCTCCCCATCTCGCCATCTCCCCGCCTCCCCATCTCGCCATCTCCCCATCTCCCCCGCCTCCCCATCTCGCCATCTCCCTGCCTCCCCGCCTCCCCATCTCGCCACCTCGCCACCTCGCCATCTCGCCATCTCCCCGTCTCCCCATCTCCCCGTCTCCCCATCTCCCCGTCTCCCCATCTCCCTGTCTCCCCATCTCCCCGTCTCCCCATCTCCCCGTCTCCCCATCTCCCTGTCTCCCCAGAGCCTCTCTGAGGCGGACAGCGGGCAGGAGGGAGCCCATTAACGACTCCTCTCTGAAATTAATCTCTCATCACCGATGTTTCTCTCTCTCCCTCTCCCTTCCTCTCTGAGACCAATGAAAATATATTTTAAAAAGATAGAGCCGAGGATGCCGAGGGCCCAGCACATCCCTCCTCGCACTCACTGGCCGGCGCGGCGAGGGAGTGTGGCCCCCTGACCGCCTGCGCCTGCTCGGGCGGCCTCCCAGGAACGGGACGGAGGGAGCCGGCTCGGGCGGCCTCCCAGGAACGGGACGGAGGGAGCCGGCTGGGGGCGGCCTCCCAGGAACGGGACGGAGGGAGCCGGCTGGGGGCGGCCTCCCAGGAACGGGACGGAGGGAGCCGGCTGGGGGCGGCCTCCCAGGAAAGCGGACGGAGGGAGCCGGCTGGGGGCGGCCTCCCAGGAAAGCGGACGGAGGGAGCCGGCTCGGGCGGCCTCCCAGGAAAGCGGACGGAGGGAGCCGGCTGGGGGCGGCCTCCCAGGAAAGCGGACAGAGGGAGCCGGCTGGGGGCGGCCTCCCAGGAAAGCGGACGGAGGGAGCCGGCTGGGGGCGGCCCTCCCAGGAAAGCGGACGGAGGGAGCCGGCTGGGGCGGCCTCCCAGGAACGGGGAAGGAGGGAGCCGGCTGGGGGCGGCCTCCCAGGAACGGGACGGAGGGAGCCGGCTGGGGGCGGCCTCCCAGGAAAGCGGACGGAGGGAGCCGGCTTGGGCGGCCTCCCAGGAAAGCGGACGGAGGGAACCGAACCGGCTGGGGCTCTGCCCGCGGGAGAGGCACCGCGGGGAGGGGTCGCGGAGCGGAGACACCTGACTGTGCTCGGAGGGCTCGGTGCCTGTGCTCTCGGGCCGGTTTGGGGGGAGGGAGAGGAGGGGGGCAAGAGGGGAAGTCTGCTCAGAGGGAAGCCGGCCCACTTCTCTGCCAGGTCAGCAAGACGCACGTGGTTGTCCCCGCAGAGCCACAGCCCACGGCCCACACTGCCCATGGCCCACGGCCTATGGTGCTCACGGCTCACGGCCCACGGCCCACGGCCCACGCTGCCCACGGCCCACGCTGCCCACGGCTCACGGCCCACTGCCCACACTGCCCATGGCCCACGGCCCACGCTGCCCACGGCCCACACTGCCCATGGCCCATGGCCTACGCTGCCCACGGCCCACACTCAGCACAGCTGGCGGCCAGACAGCCGCGCGTGCCCGAGTGTCCAGAGGCAGGTGAGGGGCAGAGGCCGTTCGGCAGGGCAATGGGGACATGGGAGCAGCCAGGCAGAGGGCGCGTGCCCGCCTCCAGGCCCGGCGCTCCTCCAGGGCAGACGAGCCAGGGCAGGGGAGAGAGGCAGGGGCGAGAGGCAGGGGTTGGGGAGGCGGAGGAGGAGCAGGGGCGAGAAGCAGGGGTGGGGAGAGGCAGAGGTGGGGAGAAGCAGGGGTGGGGGAGGCAGGGGTGGGGGAGGCAGAGGGGGAGCAGGGGGGAGA